TTCCAGTGAAATATATTTATGTTTGTGGTTGTAATGTGACAAAATATGGAAAAGTTCAAGGGGTATGAATACTTTTGCAAACCACTGTATTTCTCAAATGATTAACATACTATCAGTATCTTTCCTTTTCTTCACCTGTGGCATCAGATTATACATTTCACTACTTTTTAAGGTTTAAACTACAGGGTAAAAATGTACAGATTCTGTTACTTTATTAGCTATGTGTTTCACTGTGAAGACCGTAAGGGGTAGAGCATTTAAATCTGATGGCCTTATTGGAATTCACAGCTACCATCAAGTGGTCAGTATATCCTGGTTGGTTATGCAATTTATTTCACAAAGGCGGATTATATATTTGACTTGAATTTGGCCCAAATTGGCAAAGCTGGAAAGACCTCATGTAGCTCAGGTCAGACGACTCTTATTCACCTTGTTCAGGTAAAACTTTTATCAGATTTATACAGGAAATTGAACCTGGTCAACAGCAAAATGTCCCCAAACAGAATGCAATTACTGTTTTGATATGCTGACTGAGAAAAAAGTAATTATGGCATGAGACCATCTAACATGTCTTTTTCTAAAAAGCAAAATGTGAAAACAAAGTCACTTTTCTCATGTTGTTTTATTTCCTGCTGGTTAGGCTTACACTGTAAATGTACCATTTCTATAACTACACAATTTTATAAATATTTAGCTCAAATTTGATCTGAATCCGATCCCCAACACACATTCTGACAACTCTATTTGGATGTATGTTATTAACTATTTAAAGTCAAAGCACAGTTTCTCACGAACGGCTGCAAACATTTAATGTATACTTCTTGGGAAATAATTATTGGATGTGCATACAACTGATTGACTTTTTTGAGCCATCTCAGTTCAAGACACAATGCACAGTAAACTTGTCTTAGATACTACAAATTTTAGTGAGGTTGTAACTGGGGATCATTCACAAAACTCATTGCACAAGAGCTTTGCATTAACTGTTGGATCAACTTTGTTAGAAAAATATCTCGTGAACCACGACAATATTAAGTTTGAGATTTGAGTGTGCTTACATTACGGAAGCCGAGAGTGGACGTTTTTTTTTGCATATATTTTTTCCCATGGTTTTCTCGTGAAATAACAGGAACCGTTGTCTCGAGATAACAAGTTGATTTCCCAACGGTTTTCTTGAGATAGGGAGTTAACGGTTTTCTTGTGCATCATTCAGTAACCATGGAGATGGCTCGATCCCCTCATCTGGTCACGATAAAGTTTATTACATCAGCAGGATCACTGTGTAAACGCCTGCTGATCTGTAGTCGGGCCAGCCGTCTCCTTGAATGACGAAGGCTGATATGAAAGTTACATATACAAGACAAACAAATCGCAATTTCAGCCTGTGTAATGATACAAAAATGGCACAAAATTATGTACAATAAGTTGACTTCAGGCCCTTGCAAGAGATCTGTGATGTCAGTGGGATTTACCTGATTAAATAACAAATAAACAAACAAACAAATAAACAAATAGTAAACTTCATCGATGACCAGCTGAGGGGACCAGGTCATCTCCATGGTTGATGGAGATGACCTGAATGATACTGAATGATGCACAAGAGGAAAAACTCGACAAAAAAAAAAAAAAACCATTGGGATTGTTATCTTGAGAAGATGCTCCTCTTTCTTTCATGATAATGTTGTTATCACGAGAAAACATGGGAACTAATTATATGCAGAAAACGGCCACTTTTGGATTCTTGCTCCCTCATAATAAATAGCAACAAAACAATTCAATTTAGAAAATTTGAAAATTTAACACCAAAGAACAGTCAACAGACAATGAACTAAAAAGCTCTATTTACTGGGGGGTGGGGGGAGACAATATTACTGACACTTTATGCAACTCTTTTATAACTGAATTTCCTTAGTCCAGTGGTTCCCAAAGTTGGGGTGGGGACCCAAAGTGGGGTCCTGAAACATAAAGGTGGGGTCCTGAAAAGATTTTCTAAATTAATTACATTTTTACCTTTAGTTGCCTAAAATGTATACATGTAGAATAATAAATATTGTTACTATACCCATGTTTAGTTGACCTGATACAAATGTTTATCATCCAAAAACAGTTGGGGGCACAGGTCTCTGCTACTGTGATTTTGTGGGTCAAAAGCTGAAAGGTTTGGGAACCACTGCACTTCAGAAATCAATTTAAAAGGTAATAAAATAATTGGTGATGTAATGTTTTCCCTATATTTATTACAAAAACACAAAATAAGTATAAAAAAATTATTTATACTTGTGTAGCCTTTGTTTTTAGGGTTATTAACAAAGTTTGTGTACTCAGACCATCTGGGGTCACAAGTTTTTGCCATGAATGTTTTGTGGGTCAGAAGATAAAAAGTTTGGGAACCACTGCCTTAGTCCATTCAATAAACACAACTCTTATTACAAAACCTTCTGTTCTCATGTTGTTCTTTCTTTATAACAGGTCTTTGAAGGGAACAAAAGAAAAGTCATAGATAGGTACTCACAGGTGCACCTAATGTAACAGACTGAGACTAAACAAACAAATATTCTGTAAAAAAAAAAGTTTTGTTAATGTTCTCATTGAAAGCAGCGGGACAGCTGAGGTCGAGTTGTGATAACTGTCGTTTGACCATCAAGGGGAGTTGACACATCAGCTGGATTTCCTCTATTTCTTTTGCCTATTTTATTGTAGAGAGAGGGTGGAGTGCAGGTGATTAAAATATACGTTTAATTAGTTTTAGAGTACGTAAACGTACAAGTTGTTTGTGCAGGTGAAGACGCGTTTTGATAATTTCTTACACTATCATTTTAGACTAAATTAATTGCTCTTTCAATGCAATACAGTACTCTGTAGTTTAAAACCAAGATATCAGAACATGTGAAACATTTAAAGGAGAACACATTCGAACAGTTTTTACGACAGCTGAACCACAACAAAACACGAGTGGGCAGAGATCCAGTGTTGGACGTCCGAAACAAAGAGGTTTATCCCACAGACCCGGGAACGCCCTTATCCCCGCCCCCCTTTCGGACAACTCGTCCAGCGATTGGTCGGTTTAGCTGCGCTTCGGCTCTCTGATTGGCCAGTTGCTTCGTAAATGAACGTCTGTTGTTCACGCTCTCCCGAGAGCAGAGAAGCGCCTGTGACAGTGGAGTGCTTTGATTCATGGAGTTGCGGAGTCTCATTTCTGGGGGTTTTGGAGAACAATTAAAGGGAACAGACAAGAGCGCATGAAGGTACGTTCACACGGCAGGTTGAGGAAACAGCCTGCTAGCAACTTGAAACCCTATTCGTAGTTTGGGTTTGATTGTTTTAGTGGAAAAAGGAGGTAAAAGTACAAATAGGAGTAGGTCGCATGCTCTTGCACAATGTTTTTTCTTTTTATCGTGAAATGTTAAATCCAAAACAAATATAATAACTAAACAAAATAATGGTAGAGAGTTGGTTTTAAATCAAGTGCAGATTTATTCAAATGGATGTGAGTGCAATAATAGTGATGCTGTATTGATTTGACCATTTTCGCAAGAGAGGTCATCTATAAATGATGGCTAATGTGATTTTTTCCCCTGTTGTCTGTGGTGCCATATTTAAACATAATGACAGTCTCGTGTCAGACAAAGGCCAATGATGTCGGCAGGTGGAGATTCTGAGCTGTTCCTGAGAAAACCCAACCTCTCATTATCCTCAACTCTGACCTAATATGAGGTAAAATAATGATAAAGGACAGGAAAAATAAAACAATAAACCACCTCTGGTGATACTGTAGGGTTTAGCTGACTCACTTAACCTCAGTAAGTCAACAAATCTTATGATATTCCATCTGTTTCTTCATATTATATTAGAATAAACCCATTCAAATATTTAAATTAACTGTTTCTCGTGTCATCTTACACAGCCAGGATGCATCATCCCCACTTTAGGGTATGTGGGCTCCATGATTCTCATGGTGTGGGTATCCCTGGAATGTTTTGAAGGATTTTCCATGGTAGCCGATTTTTATAAAGACTGGATATCAAGTGACAAATACGAAGCCAGACCAACAGCTAAAACGCACACTCATTTAAATTAATATCAAAGTATGAGACCAAATGTGTGATTATAGACAAGCCTGGGAACCACTTCGAAAGTCCCCAAGAAGTTAGCGGAGCTTGTAAATAAAAACGGATCCGTGCTCTGTTATGTGTGTGGCTAAGCCACAGAAAACACCAAGGAATCTTTTTTGGGGAGACAGAGAACGTTCTGTCAGAAAGTAAACACTCTCATCATTCAGAGTGCGAGGAAACCATTTGTTGAGGACTGTTGGTTTCACTCGCAACGCAGACAAAATTGAAATGAAGAACAAACGATTTCAGGTGTTCCCCTGCAGGGTTTCTTGCTGATTTAATTTAAAAAAAAACAATAAAACTTTTGTGCTTTTGCCAACAGCAGATCTAAATCTCAACTGGGCCACTTTAGATTTAAGAGCCACATGGCAGTTCATCACTGATATGTGTATATGTGTTGTGTAAGAGTCGTGCAGAGTTTTTTTAAAAAAAGGCAAAAGTAACTTGATCAGGCACACCGCCACTTTTAATAAAACACAGTGTGGGGTGTGAACGACAAGCTGATCATTACAGAGCCTCTGTTACCTGGTTTCACAGCTCATGTGTACCTTGTTAAACAGTCGGGAGCAAAACGCATTCCGAGGAAACGAATCCGACAGCAACGTCATCAAACTTTGGTGTGTTCTGTTATGTTTCGTGTCTCCTACAGTTTTACAGATGATGCCGGCTGTGTTTTGTGTGGCCTCTGTGATCACACAGGGCCTAGCTGATGAATCACAGGATAAAGCAGATTTGGTGCAGGATGACTCAAAAAAAAAAAAATAAAATAAAACTTTGTGTTTGAAGAGATCAAATTTGTCTAGCAGTTTTAGGCTTTAACAGAGCAGACAGTCATCGGTCCCAAAGCCACTAAATGTGCAAATATGCAAATAGCTTCCTGTTTATAACCCTGAGCACAGCCTGGGGAAGCCACAGATGGGACCCCATCACATAAATGACTTTTGTACAAATCAAACAATCCAGTCCTCTCTGTGTCACACAAAAATCCATTTTTTTAAAATCCTCTGTTGCCATTTTGGGGGAATCTTCTGACGTCGTTACATCTGTTGGCTTATCTCCTGACACATTTTCCTGTCTCTCATGCTTCAGGTGGAGAAGATGAACGTAGAGGCTCTGAGCAGAGCAGAGCTGCTGACTCTCTTGAGTATTCTGGAGGGAGAACTGGAAGCTCAGGATGTGGTCATACATACCCTCAGAGTGAGTTTGATGATAAGAAACCCCACTCCCTCGCTATTACACACATTTAGGAGTGTATGCGCACCAATGGAAATACCACGTGGTTTGTAGTTTTTTAATTTATTATAACTTTTTGTTTGCCATCTGGGAATTCCACTTATATTCAACACCATTACTATTTATGACTAAAAATGTCAGCATTACGCGGACAAAAAAGTATGCGAGCGAGCTGGGTGGGGATGTGTAAACAGGAACTTGAGGAAACGGAGCGCTGTGGAGACAATGGCAGAGGGGCCATTTTGGCCTCCAAGGCCTTTTATTACAACACAGTGACAGTAGTATTGCTGGTCAGACCAGTCTCTGCCGCTATTCACGTGGATATATTGTGTGCAGACCGCTCATGCGTGGTGCTGTCTTGTCAAATGTCTCTTGAGGGACAAACTGGTCCTAAACCAGAGATGACAAATTGTGTCGTCTTTCCACGTGTGCGTAGTTCAAAAACCCTCACGGTAATTGTTTGGCCCGCATCCAGCTGCGCTTGGAATGCTTAAAAAATGTTACGAGGATAATTAAAGCGGTTCAAACCAAGGAAGGCAGAGAGGTGATCCAGACAACCTGGGAATGCTCTGACTTAGGACAGCTTGACTCACCCAGTGCACGTTGTGAATGGCCAGAATTATAAGACCTTTTCTCCAGTAATTGTCCCTTAAATCCCTTATTTTGTTCTTAGCATCTCATTCTGTCATGTATTGAAAAGAGTGAAGCTTTCCTTCAGCAACAATGCTCTTCAGTGTGTGTGTCCAGTCCAATTAGCTCTGTCTCTCCATGCCGCTGGCTGCTTTTTCACACTCACAACTACAGCAGCAGCTGTCCCAAACTGGTCTGGACCCTGAAAGCTTGACTCATTGTCTGAAGTTGTGAGTCTTTGATGAGAAGAAGAAGTGGGGGGCTAACCATGACTGTCTCGTTGGAACACATAGGCCTCGTCGGGGAAGCTTATCTGGGAGCTTTTGTAGCTGTAATGGTGAAAGAATTTCAGTGTCATGGCACAGCAGAAGGCCATAGCAACCGCACCAAGAGAAATCTGAAGCATGCCGTATTTCACTTAAAACTCAATCATGCCGCTCGGACAAGTGCACTGTGTGGTTGCTTTCTTGCCCCTTGTTTTCCTCTGCCTTACTCAACCTCCCCGACACGCACACATAGTTTGGTGGTCTCTAATAGAAGAAAAAAAAGTTGTTCAGATATTTTGAAGCGGGGCTCTGTGGAAAGATAGCTCTTTCAATGAGCCTCACGTTTGGAAAAATAGAGTTTATTTCTGACTGGATTGACAAGCTAATGAGTAGTTTGAGTGGGATCAAAACCAAAGTGTATTGCTGCCTTCTGAAAAAGAAATCTACTCTCAAATTTTACATAACCGTTCTTAAAAAAAAAACACTTTTACGTTGTTTTCAGTTTTGTAAAATGTAATTATTGACATTGAATTTTATGGTTATTTGAGATCACAGTTGCTAACTGTAGCAGCCTGGAGCACTTCCTGCAGAATTATTATGAATTTTACCCAAGTAAAGTCCAATTGATGTAGCAGTTTACAAGTTATCATTTACATGAACTGTTATAAACTGTTTAGGAATTTAGTTGTTTAAAGATGATTCAATCCACTTTGGCTGTGGTCTTGCTCAGACTAGCCGTTAACTTGGCAGTCTGTCAGAGTGACACTTATTTTCTCCTCTCTGTGATTGTTCAAAAACCCACTTAAAAAAATCAGAACAATCCCTTTTGACCCCTCAGACTGTTGTGTTTACTGATGGGAGGATGCACAGTGTTTTTAGGCTCAAATCACCGACTTCCCTTGTTCCCCATGAGAGCCTGTGCAGCAGTTTACTGACTGGTCTTATTTAGGGCAGTCTGGGCAGAAGGGAGCGTCAGCTTTCAATAGCAAGACAATACAATTCCCGGCAGACTCTGCATTAATTTAGTACCTATTTTTTTTCTTTCTGATCGTCCCTCTCTGTTGTTTGTTCTTTACCCAGTTTGAATATTTGTTTTCCTTGCAGCAGCAAGCATTTTAACAGACTTCTCACAGCTACAGTTGCTTTTGAACCTTCCCTTTACTCCGCAAACTCCCAAAACCGTCCAACTGCCCTGGCGTTCCCACACAACCTGAGGTGGCGTCACCTCTGGGACTTGTCTCTACAGATTCTCAATCGCAATGTTTCCAGTTCCCAATGCTAAGAAAACAAACTAGCAGTTTTACTAGAGGGAACATTCCTGAGAACTTGCACCAAACAGTTTTTGCATTCCAGGAGGTGTGGCGTTTTTTTCCCCACTCTGACAATTGTCCTTATCTGTAGGGATCTGATACTATTATTACCCTGGTTTAAATCTAGCATACGCAAACGTTTTCTGTAAGCACTGCAACACACTTTCTCTTCAAATACTCAGCCCTCTCAGCTACTTATAAGGCAATAATTTGTGGTCTTGTATAATTATTTTTGGTGTTTGACACTGTTTAACTAAAAGCCAACAAAAAAAAGGTTTTCTTGTCAGCAAGACAATTTATATTTTTTGTTGCTTATTATGAAGTCATATCCTGTAATCCTGATTGTTTTGTCTAGTTTTGCAGACTTGCATGTTTTCTTGACCGCAGAAACAATAGGGACTGGCAAGAGTGGGCTGTTCAGATAAGAGGGTGTTTTCTGTTTCCACTGAAGAGTTCCAGCTCAATTTAGATTAGTTTTTTCAGGCAGGTTGGGGAAACAGGATTTAAAAAACAGTCAGTCCATGTGTACAGTATATACTGTATATATAC